GGAGCAAACTCTTGATATTTTTTGTAAATAGGAATACAATTAATCATTGCACAACAACACATAAAATACAAGGGCATGCGACTAATATGACAACTAGCCCAAATACTAGTTTGATTTATTGGATGTTGTTTTACGTCAAGTTCGAGAAATTTTCACTCATATAGAGAAGTCACCATATACCGGTGAAGGGCTTCAAATTTAGACCTTTACTCGGCACTCAGGGCCATTGAGCAGTGAGGGTTCTTTAACGTGCCAACGCCTACCGTGACACGGGGCCTTGGTTTTTAAGGTCTCATCCGAAGGACCCGCAACTTTCACTTCAAAGTACCGAGCACTTGGCAAAGGAACAGTTGCTACCTATTTTTTTCATCGACTTAGGTCAGTCGCGGCCGTGATTCGAACACACGACCTTCCGATCAATACTAGTTTGAAAAACTGTCTTATCGAGGGTAAAATAGCACAATCAGGCTACCACAACCTCAATTGGATATAATTTTATACCTACATATATTAATGTAAAAAGTCGATATATTTTTGCAACAATCACGAGAAAATGATTTTTAAAGGCAACATAACACTTCTCTCATCGATTTCCTCCGAGGAAGAGAACTGTAGAACCATTAAAACGGGGATAGCTTGTCCATATGCACGTCTTTCTATGGATTCTTTCCGCTGTTCTCACACTGATGCTGCATATGATAATCTTTCTTATTCCTTATCAACATCTTTCTGCAGAAATTCCTGTTGTTGAGACAAGATTGAACAAGCGTGATTCCTTAAAAATTTCACCTGGTTCATTTTAAAACCTATTCCTTCGCAACATTTCTAATGTATTACGTAAAAAAAACAAATTAATTATCTGTTCTACTTTTCAAACTCTCCGGTATTGTATATCACATAAGTTTTACAAGCGATTGTATGATCGACCGAATAGTTTCAAGATACAGACATGTACTTCAATCTATAGCTTAAAATATAAGTTTATCGCAAAAGTAACATTGATCCATCTGTCCTCATACATATATTTATTTAAATCCACAAAAAGATATTGATTAAATTAATTTGAGTCTTTAGAGTCTTAAAATTTCTGAGCTATTACGTAAGCACCAATGCTGGTATGTTTAGACTTTTAGATCTGTGATTGCATTAGCAAAATGGGATAGATTTCACCTAGCTTTATTAGTGCACCGAACTTCTACGATCATGGGGTGAGACGCACCAACTCGCTGTCTGTCAGCAATCATCTTCGGTAAAAAAAAAAAAAATCCAAGATGACATTTATATCTCAGAAATTTTCTTTCAACTTTCTAACTCCTTTTTAACAACTGGTTGACCCTTCTAGCAGCATTGATCGTTTCTGATCGGGAGGCCCGGGTTCGATTCTCTTTCGCCACGCCGGGTCAAATTTAAGACACATTGGTAGTGACTGTTCCTTCGCCAAGCGCCCCGCATAAAATCCCGTTCACGATACGCATAAGCACGATAAAGAACCCTCACTGCTCAATGGTTCTGAGTGCCGAATATAGGTCTATTTGAAGCCATTCACGAGCATCTCTACCTGAGTGAAAAATTCTCGAATGGGACATTAAACAACATACAATCAACTAATCAACCCACTTCTTTCACATGTAGAATGTAAAAAAGGATACTACTAAGATAAGACCATATTTCCACCTAAATTTTGCTGCTCTCCAAGTTAAAATGTAAACTCAGCTAACTGTTTTCCTTAAATCGCAAATATGTTTAATTATGAATTTATTTGGCATATCCTTAAAATACTTCTTGCAAGTAGTCGTTTAATTGGACATAAAAATGAAACAAGTCTGAAGTAGAGAATAGTAGAGAGCACTATTATTTTTGAGCGCAAAAATAGTAAAATACGTCTTATAATTTTACTAATTGCATGTATAATGTAGGATTTCCTTTTTATTAATGACGTTTTTTTCTTCATCTACATGTAATTGAAAGGGAAATTTAATTATGAAAGTTTCTGACTTTTCACTTAGATAGTGTGGTATACACGTAACTCTAAGACTGTATCGTTTACTTATTCACATTTTTCATTGGTTTACAGGATTAACAAGATTAATCACTGTTCATTATCTTCATCTTTTTCATTGTCTTCCTTTATATAAATATCACATGCAGAATTGATGCTCAGATGCAGGTTAAGTAAGTGTAGATATAACCCTATCTGCCTCGCGGCTCCCGATGAAACAAAATATTTAGAGAAAAATATAGATAGTAAATATATCACATTCTCCGTAAAGACTGTTGACTAGAGGGGAAGAGGGGAGGGGGTTAAATGATGTTGCGCTGCTTTCTGCGTATAGTTTGGGACAAAATTTATGTGTGTTTTCCTACTTTTCTTTAAACATTCAAAATTATAATATATCTACAGACTAAAACTAAGAATGATTACTTCTGAAAATAGCAACTGCAGTTCTTTTTAAACAACAATAATAATGGTGTACTTGTTAGTGTTTCCTGCATAGATAGTTAATTCATAATGAAAACAAAATGTGTTTGTGAAACAATGATGCCCCCGTATGGCAGCTTATGGCCAAGGTTAAATTTTATCAAATGCAAGTCAAACTCCAGGTCAAGAGATCAAAAATGTTGGTACCCAAAGAAAGGTGTTTCCTCGAGGAATATACCTGTGAAATTTGAAAGCCCTAGCACCAACTGTTCAAAAGTTATGGCGAAGGTTAAAGTTTTTTAAAAGTAAGTAAAACGTCAAGGTCAAGGTCAAATGGGGCCCCAAGGCAAGGTCTTGTCACAAGTGATACACATGTTCGTGAAATGTAAAAGCCCTAGAACAAAACTTTCACATGTTATGGAGAAGGTATTAGTTTTTAAAAAGTATGTCAAACTCCAAGGGTAAGGTCAATGCTAAAATTGTTGGTATCCAAAGGAAAGTCTTGTCACAAGGAATGCATATGTGAAGTACAAACCCTAGCACCAAATGTTTAAAAGTTATGGCCAAGGTTAAAGTTTTTCAAAAGAAGGTTAAACTCCAAGGTCAAAGTTGTTTCTATGCAAAGGAAAGCCTTATCACAAGGATTTAATATGTGAAGTATGAAAGCCCTAGCAACAACCATTCAAAAGTACCGTAAATCTGGAAATTTTTACTGTAGATAAATTTTTAGCAAATTTGCGCGTGCATTGCTTTCGCAAAAATATTTTTCTTAAAACTAAATCAACAACTAAAAATGTAAACAAAAATTTTGCTGACAGTCTAATATTGACCTGGTGAACAGGAAGGTGTTCATAAGCAGTGATCATTTTAAGAAACCTGTTTGTGCTACAAGGTAATTACCAATGATAAAGCATGCAAGGAGAATATACATGCGTGATTAAATAAAATGTTACAAAACTTTAAAAAGTTTATATGTTTTATCTCTTCTAATATTTTTTATCTGATTAATGAGCGTTGGCATCGTTTAATATAGTATGTACACGCGTAATTTTTGTATGTACATACATATTGTTTGTACATGCGTAACTTTTAAACTGTTATGAAAGTGTTGAGCGCTTTTTAATTTTAGCGCCAATGACAATTCGCAAAATATTAATCAACAGCTTTTTGACCCAGATTCGCAAAAATAAATCGACGTAAAAATTTCCAGATTTACGGTAATAGCCAAGGTTAAAATTTTTCAAAAGTAGGTCATACTCCAAGGTCAAAGTGGCTGGTATCCAAAAGAAGGTCTTGTCACAATAATTACATACATGAAGTATGAAAGCCCTAGCACTAACCGTTCAAAAGTTATGGCCAAGGTTAAAGTTTTCAAAAGTAGGTCAAACTCCAAGGTAAAAGGGTCAAAATTGATGGTATCTGAAGGAAGATCTTGTCACAAGGAATACACATGTGAAGTTTGAAAGCCCAATCACCAACTGTTCAGAAGTTATGGCCAAGGTTAAAGTCTCATAAATTTTTGCAAAAGTTGGTCAAACTCCAAGGTCAAGGTCAAATATGATGGTACCCAAAGAAAGATTTTCTCACAAGGAAAACATATGTGAAACACGAAAGTCATAGGTCGCCCGCGTGGCGCAGTGATTAAAGCGTCTACTCTAGAGTCGCGGAGTAAGGAGTTAATCCTTATGTCGCGGGTTCGAATCCCACTGTGGGACGTGGAGACCGGTCCTTCGGATGAGACCGTATAAACCGAGGTTCCATGTCGCAGTAGGTGCTGACTCGAAAAAGATCCCTCACTGCTCAATGGCCGTAAGTGCCGAGTATAGGACAAAATTTGCAGCTCTCCACCGGCAAGTGGTGGCGTCTCCATATGAGTGAACAATTCTCGAGAGGGACGTTAAACAACATACAAACAAACAAACAAACGAAAGTCATAGCTCCAACCAATCAAAAGTTATGGGCAAGGTTAAAGTACAGACAGACGGACGGACGGACAGGGCAAAAACTATACACCCCCGAATCTTCGATACGGGGGCATAAAAATAATAGTACCTTCATCATGTAAACAGTTATACATCAGAAAGTGGAACTAAATATACAAGACGTTTAGTGAATCTTCACATTAAAATTCATGTGCAATATTTATTGTGGTAAGAATGATTTCTTCAGCTGCTGCAAAGGGAGGTCCTAGAACCCACAAATCATGGTACGCAATATATATACTGCTGGCAGTCGAGCTTAATTTACCTTCATAAAAAAAAGTACAAAAAAACCCCCAGCAACATGCTTTCTAGACACTGTCAAAAACGTGCAAGACACTGTTCTTTTTCACCAAATAACTCTACAATTCGACTTCTTTAATAACGCAGGGTTTTATTTGATTTTATTTGATTTTAAATCTGCAGGAAAAGGCCAGTGGAAATAGGTAGCAAGCGATAGTAAGAAATTAATCTATCATCTCTTGCAGAAGCTTACGAATCACCTTTCTAACACAACTGAAAGCAAGCAATATTAGTTAATCTGCATTACGATTTATAAGGCGATTTTTAATAAGCAACACTTTTATCTTTTGTAGTCAGTCATGAGTTCGTGCCCAGTAGGTTACAATCAAATAGAAGAACTGGCGGGAAAGAACATCACAACAGACGACGAGTTAAAATGGCCATGCGCATTACGCGTTTTTTGGGTAGACCTTCTGCCGTTTGTTGAACTTGTAAGAGGATTACTATCATATGGCACTTCTTTTATTATCGCTTTCGGTTTGCTTTTTAATAGCATTTCTTTTATCGTACTAACCCGAAAACACATGCGAAAATCAACCACCAATATGTATCTCTCAGTCTTGGCTGTTTATGATTGCCTTTCTTTGACTTTTAATTTCGTTATCGGCGTTTCTCGAGGCCAGAATCCTGATACCGTGAATAAGAATTTTCAGAGGTCGGAAGGACTCTGCACATTTCACGGCGTGGTCGTTGAATTATTCAATCTACTTTCAGTATGGTTGATCGTTGCTTTTACCGTTGAACGCTTCATCATGGTGAAATTCCCACTTAAAGCGAAGAATCTGACTCCAAGAAGAGCACTCTACACAATCATTGGTGTCTCTCTGTGCGTCTTTATCTTCTCTCTACATAAAATTGCTGTCTCTGGGTTTGAGGGCGATTCAGTTTTTGGTTACAAGGCCTGCAAAACTCGTCGGTCGATATTTCGGGAAATCATCTACTTTTATGTTGCATTCAATACTTGGTTACCCACAATCATCATCGTTAGCTTCAACACCATGATCATCGTTGAAATCAAAAAGAATCAAAAGAAACGAAAAGAGATGACAAAAAATGCCAATGCTATGTCAAAATCTGATGAAAAAGCTACGAAACTGTTATTAGCTGTCTCCTCAGCATATGTTGTACTCATTCTGCCCTTAGGCTTGATTCAAACAACGGAATTGATCTTTAATGGTTCGGCAAAAGTCGAGCCTGGCGATCCAGGATACATTGACTTCATGACTACCAAAATGAAACTAAAATGGACAAGGGCGTTTTTCTTTTTCTTCTATCAGTTCAACTTCGCTATCAATTTCTTCTTGTATGTTTCTTCGTCGTCAGCGACTCGTTTTCGTACAACCTTAAAGAAACTGCTTGGAATGAAAGTCAACACAGAGGACATGACGTGGATCTCGCAGTCACGACACAAAAAGAACGCTGTCGCTCCGGACAAATCGGAAGTGTCCGAAATGCCGAAGACATCACAACCGGACGCTGATAACGCTTGAAGATTCCAGAAAAAAGATTGCTTTGGATAAGTAAAAGACTGACCCTATTTATGGCTAGTACATGTACATCGAATATGAGTAACTTAAACAATAGAATTATACTAGTATTATTTCTGTTAACATTTGTTTAAAAAAACATTGAACGTAAATCCTCTTTGCTTTGTACTGTAGGTATAAAAAAGATTTTGTTTTATCTTATTATAAATGTTGCTCTGCTCAGCCGAGTGTTCTTTTTCGAGCTACCAAATATTCAAATACCCTTTAGTTCAGCAAATTCATCTTGGGGTGAATTATGGATTTTAAAAACAAGTGGATAGTCATCTCACATCTAGTATAATTTTAATGAGCTATATATTATACTATTGAATTCTAACATTGAATTTTCTTTGTAGTATCTGTCCTTCAATACACATTTTTGGCTAATATAAGTAACTAAATATCTTTTATGTATCGATTATGTAGACATGGTGTTGTTTGTGATTCGATTAAATAAAGAGAAAAAAGCACAACTTTATAATACACAGGTCTTTAATATGATATTAGAATAGACTTCCTTTCGGCTACATTTTCTTTGATGCTATAGATTACAGATTTCTGATTATTACAATGTATACTAGTATTTCTTTTTTTGCTTTGGTCTGCTATCTCTTGAAATCTAATCTGATATATTTTCCTATCTTTAATACTAAGATATACTCAATGAAAACATATATTGGGGGTATCGTTTAACTTAAATAATCCCGTATAGTCTTCAGAATGCCTAATCCCGTATTGTCTTTAGCAGGCCCGTAGGAAGGAATTGCAGTTTGGGGGGGGGGGGGGGCACAGCCATACATTTTCAGTTGAGGGGGCACTATCAACTACCAAAAATTCCTTGACAAGCAAAAAAAAAAAAAAAAAAAAGGTCATTAGACATTTTTACTGAGGGGGCACACAAGCATATAGTATCTATTTTTCCTATAGTAATCTATATATCGGCAAAATTATTGGGGGGGGGCACGGCCCACCCCACCCCACCCCCACCCGGTTCCTACAGCCATGTTTAGAATTCCAATTGCCACAGTAAACATTTGAAGGCTTTTCTGTTGAGAAAAAAGTCATGAAATGCAAAACACAAAATTAAGTGAATTTTTAGTCATGACCAAAGAAAGAATTCGGTATGTCGATCAGAAAAAATGCAACAAACTTGCAATCTGACTGAGAGTTATACTGGACAACGGATACTTAAAAGAGTAACTGCTTCTTAAGGGAGCCGACTGGGGTTTTATTGCGTGAAAACTGCTATAGAGAAACTCGTTAATTTAATACCATATGTACCTTACATTGACTTCAGTATACATGCCAAGTTTAGTGAAAATCTACAGTCTGATATTTTTAGGGACCCTCTCAAAATACAGGTACATTTACAATAGGATTATATAGAAATTCAATTTTTAGCAAATTATACAAATGCTACTATAGAATTTTTGCTTAAATTATATTATTTGATGAGTAATACTATATTGCAAGAAACACAAAATCTTACCGTCTGGTTTCCAGATGGGGCATCTCAAAATATAAAAATTCATGATATTTTCCTGTTGTTATGGAGTATTACAAAACATGACAGATACCACAGATTTATATAAAAATAATAAAAATGATTGTGATCGAGATTCTCAATTTTCTATGTTTATAAATTTCAATAGTATCTATTTAATACTTTTTATTTTATGACATAATTAATGCCCTCTCTTAAAGAACTTCGAATCGGTTATTCATAACGTTAAAACATACTATTACGACGTCTATCTTCCATTCATTTGTTTGTTTGTTGTTTAACGTCCCTCTCGAGAATTTTTCACTCATATGGAGACGCCACCACTTGCCGGTGGAGAGCTGCAAATATTGACCTATGCTCGGCACTTAGGGCCATTGAGCAGTGAGGGATCTTTTTCGTGCCAGCAACTACTGCGACACGGGACCTCGGTTTATACGGTCTCATCCGAAGGACAGGTCTCCACGTCCCACAGTGGGATTCGAACCCGCGATGTAAGGATTAACTCCTTACTCTAGAGCAGACGCTGTACCACTGCGCCACGCGGGCGACTCCCCTCATTTGAAAAATCGTTAAAAAACCAATTATTTAAAAACGCAGTTTGATTTTTAAACCTGAGATTTCCTAATTTTGTTAATTTTTATAAATTATGTGAAAATAGTTGCTTTAAAAGAGTAAATACTCTTAATTTTACTAGGCTGCGCGAAGTAATGCACAATGAAAACCCAAGTGGCCCCCTTAAGCTGAGAAACGATATTTGTATATTTTTCAACATAGTAATAGTTGAAATTGAGTTTAAAACATAATTTTTTTTTTATTAAACTATAAAGTTGAAGAAGGAGACATTATTACATGGATCAACGGATTACGCTTAATTTTACTAGGCTGCGCGAAGTAATACACAATGAAAACCCAAGTCGGCCCCCTTAAGCCGAGAAACGGTATTTGTATATTTTTCAACATGGTAATAGTTGAAAATGAATTTAAAACATAATTTTTTTTTATATTAAACTATAAAGTTGAAGAAGGAGACATTATTACATGGATCAACGGATTACGACTTAGAATGTGTAAATCTTGAACATTGTTGCAATTTAGTTATCTCGAGAGTTTCTATATTAACAGTAATAAATTTCCAGTTGTATGGATTTATCCACTCATCTGTTTTTATCAACTTGTCAATGACCTCATACATTGTAGATATATCCAATAGCACAGTGAAATCAAAACACATTAATGACAACGTTTGAAAGCACGACATGTTTATTGGGAAACAGGTAATCCATGTTGGGAAACGGGTTACTCTATCTTATAGTACACAAGAGTGAATCTTTATCGGCATAAATGAAAGAGAAATATTTTTGTCTAGTCTTTTACTTTGAATATTTCTGCTAAATTTACGTATCTTTGAACCATTTTCATTTGACGTCATGGCTGTTTTTCCCTTACTTGGAAAATTGCAGAATAGGCGCTGTTAACCTAGTTATGTGCTTCATCTTTTATAATTAAAGCAAATCAATAGGTTGAAGTACTTCTGTTTCTCTGTAAATTTTAACTATTAAATGTTTCCTCTACCTAATGGTTTACCTTGTAAAATTCTCTTAAAAGTTTTATACTTAAGCAATTCATTTCATCCGTAGACATGGCCATCAGAAGATCTTTTATTGGCTAAAATTAGAACGTTCGTTTTATAAAACTTTAACCTCAATTTATTTTTACATAATTTAAAATATACAATCCCTTGAAATATAAAATGATCATTCATTCGTTCGCAGAAAGTCCTCCTAGGATAAAAGGCCAACAAACATGGAAAGTCGGGCTTTTCACGGACTCAAAGGGGCCATTTTGAACTTGATGCACAATCTTCAAGAAACAATATAATGTATATCTAATGAACAGGCAATAAGAATGGATCATTATCAATAATTCTGATTTTATTTCAACATTATTTGGCAAATAAAACGTTAAAGACCATTCGAGGTATTAATATCGATGTAAAAACAGAAAATAATGAAGCATTTTATAGTTTTTCCAACGGTCCGTCCGTCCGTTACGCTTTGGGGTACACATCTCTTATCCCCGACTCCTCTTATACCACTGAGTAAAATTTAATGATACTTTCACAGAATCTTTATTACATAGTGCCATTGTGCACCTCCTATTTTACTTTTTGATCGAACACATATATCGGGTTTCCCATAGTAACACAAGCACACTGCCATTCTCTCTTTAATATTGAGGGTGCCCATCTATATGCGCACTCCTCCTATACCACCGGGCAAAATTTAATGAGACTTTCACAGAATCTTTACTTAGTGCCATTGTGCACCTCCTTATTTCTTGATCGGACACATATTTCGGTTTGCCAATAGCACAACATAGAACACTGCCATTCTTTCTATAATATTGAGGGGTACCAATCTCTTATCCGCAACTCCTCACCTCCTATACCACTGAATAAAAATTTAATGATACTTTCACAGAATCTTTATTACATAGTGCCATTGTAACCTCCTATTTTACTTTTTGTTCAAACACATATATCGAGTCTCCCATAGCAAAACATGGATTTTGCCATTATACACATATGGGACGTGGGGGGGGGGGGGTATCATTTTGTGAGCTCAGTGCTCACAGTAACCTCTAGTTTACCGGTGTTTTCGAATTTACATAAGATAGCAATGATGACTATTTTTGAATGCATATTCTTGCTATATTTGCATTTGAAGAATCCATGAACTGAGTTGAATTTTGACTTCTCATGAACCTTTACGTTAACTCTATACGGATATAAAGCGTTTATAAGAGCTGATTTTATTACAGACATCTGTTTTCTAGATGAGAAAAACTATCAACATTATGGATACAATTTCATTATGATAAATGATAAAATTGCAATTACTACTGCAAGTGACAGATCTGTCTTTGTCTTACGCTTTAAGCATCACCATGCAACAACACACAGCCATTGAAAGCATGAAGGCATGTTCTGCTCGAAATGATAATTTCCAAAATGTCGAAGAAACAAGTAAGAGCTGTGCTGATGTATAAAACCAGAAGCTTTTGATGAGACCCTGCTTAACTTAAAATTTACAACGGGGCTAAAACACATTTATCTGAGCTTTACATTTGCAGAAAAATGTTTTCTGACGTTTTCTTATCGTGGTAATTTTGTCGAAATCAAATCAAATCTGTAATAGTAGCGATTTGAAAGATCGTCAACACCAGTAAGTTTATGTGTCTTAGTTAAGTATACTTCTGTATCAATATTTGTTAAAATCGGACCAAAACGGTAGAAGTTGAAGCAAATTTTAAAGACTTTCACATGAAAGACTTTTTAGTATTCACTGCAACATTGTTCATCTGAATTGAAATGTGTTCCATGGTGTAGTCTTCCTGAGTGTCATACTTTCGAAATCAGAACAAGTTTAGTATTTCGAATAAATTTCAGAAATTGCTATTTATGTAGTCATGGAAACATCATTTCTAGAAACAGAAAAAAAACCACTGAAGAGAATAATGTATCTTTGTGTAGTTTGTTTGTAC